AACACTATTTGTATGTATATGGCTGAAGGATCTTTTCATATAAAAAAAGATAGTGATGAGATCTCATGTACTTCATTTAAATTATTATTTATTTATTTTTAAATCTATTTAGTGTTATTAAACAATAGTTTTGACATGATGGTTGTCCTTTAATGTTTGCTTTAGAGATGTCAGGTAACAGTTCTCTGTCCCCTCCCCCGCCCTTATATATAGTTTTTTTTTTAAATCTTATCCCATTTAGGATAAAGTGATGTACTTCACACAATATCCACAGAGCATTAGAATAAATGAAAAACAAAAAAAATATTCATACGTATTTGAGGTTATTGCATTTGCAGTGAATTCCCAAGTTGTGCAGCTTCCGCTCTGAGCACTAACCAAACAAGGAAAAGCCTCTGCTCGCAACTTTTAATAGCACTGTTGAACATATCCCATAAGCAGTGGTTTATGTGCACAGCAAAGATTTCTGGGAGTTCTAATTCATTTGTCAATTTTCTACTGTAGAAAGCTAACAAACTTACTACAATTCCCAAAAACCCAAGTCACAACATTCTATACAGCAGTATTTCTAGAGCGGAAGGGAGAAATACTATAGGATATTAAAAGAAGCAGTGTAAGGAATACAGTTGTATTCCTAACACTGTGGTGTCCCTGTGCCGTCCCTCCCCAATAATCAAAGGGATAAAAACCCTTTAAATCCATACCTAAATCCAGCTGCATAGTCCCTCGTTGCTGCTTCCATCTCCACCTCTTCCAATATCATTGCAAGGGGGAGCCTAACACTCATACACGGCGAAAGGAAATAGGGACCTGCAAGACACTGGATGTCCTCATGCAAACTGTGAGGACGCCCAGCATTGCTTCATGGAGTGGCTCTAGAGGCAGTCTTAACAGTGCAATGTAAATAGTGTAATTTCTCTAAAACTTTTCAGCTGCAAGGTTAAAGGTACAGGGATTCTGCACCCATACCACTTAAATGAGATGAAGTTGTCTGGGTGCCTATAGTGTCCCTTTAAGCAGGAGAGAAACAGCTTACAGAGCAGTTATTAGGAACTACGACTAATGAACTAAATAAAGTTGATACAAATAAACACCCAGTATAACTAACTTTAACCTAACAGCTCTTTAGCTGTATGGATCAAGGATAGATTACTAATATTAAAGCAACCCTATAGGGTCAGCAACACAAACCTGTATTCCTGACCCTATAGTGTTTAACACAACATTTAGGTGGCTTGCACCCCCTTAAAAGCTTAAAACTTGCCTTATTTCCAGCGCCACGCGGGTCTGCTGGCGCTGGCTCCGCCCCCTTTGTGACAATCAAAATTCTCCCATGGGGAAAGCTTTGAATTGGCTAAAATCGCCACAGGGGCATGGCCAAATGCCGTTTTGGCCAATCAGGACCTCCTCATAGAGATGCATTGAATCAATTCATCTTTATGAGGAAAATTCAGCGTCTCCATGCAGAGCGTGGGGACGCTGAACGTCAGGGCTGCTATTTCGGCAGCACTGACCCAGGAAGCCCCTCCAGTGGCCATCTAAGAAGTGGCCTCTTGGAGATGTCCCTAGAGGCAATGTAAACACTGCCATTTCTCTAAAAAGGCAGTGTTTGTATGAAAAAAGCCTGAAGGGAACTATTATACTCACCAGAACAACTACATTAAACTGTAGTTGTTCTGGTGACTATAGTGTCCCTTTAAAGATAATTATGTTCCAATTTAACTTTTACCTATCATTTCCTTGTTCTTTGCTTCGATTTCTTCCAGCAAAGTCTCTGGTGTTGATGTCAGTTTCTCATCATCCATACTGTAAGAGTCCAGGAATTTTCTGTATTCAGGATCTTGTGACATAAAATTAAAAGGATACAGTTTTTACATTTAAAAAAAAAAAAAAGTTGAAAGCAGCGTTTTCAGAGAATAACTGTCTTGACAAATGGCTGTTAAACAAGGAGACATCACAAAATCTCAGACACCAGTTCCAATGGGAATAAAGATGCAGGGATAACCCAAATGTGAGAAACACAGAGACAGAAATTAAAACAGACACAGAAGTCAGAGGACAGGGAAATAAAAGTCCAAATCATTTATTTAGTATGGTCAATATATTTGGAGGTTTTTTTTGTTATTTTACCATCATCAATTGTTCCAGCCTTAGAATCCTTCTTCTTGCTTTTCTTTTTTGCCACTTTTTGAAAGGGGGCAAATTCCACAACAGCTGGATATTCCTGCCCTGGCACAGGGAAAAAAAAAAAGAATACAAATAAAAATATAAAAACATGCTACCAGAATAATTTGATAATGCTAACACTAAATATATATGTCACATCCAAGAAGGCTGCACTCTCAGACAAAAAATCTGAACCTTCTACTACAATTCCTGCATAGCATTGAAGGGGCACTATAACCACTACAAACAGTAGTTGCTAGTTGATATGGTACCAGCATGCCTCTGGATTTATCTGCAGTCCTGGATCCTCACCAGCATATTACTATCATGGAAGCAATCTCACGGCTGTCTATTTTTTGATGGCATTCCCTGGATAAGCAAGTTAGTCAACTTACTAAGCTAATGAATGCCGTACATAGATACTACAGTCAGCTGTTCTAATTTAAATATACCCAAAATAAAATATGAATATAATAAAAAGTACACAAATTATATATGGACAGCAGGTTTGAGCAGATAACTGTTACGATATAAATATTCAATCATACCTCTGTGATCGATAAAAACATATCCATCAAAACGGTCTCTAAATAGCATTATGTCATCTTGACTTTTAAAGTTGATATATGCCCTTGAGAACATATGAGGAAATAAGCTGTTGAAGAAGCACAGTGGATTTCATGTTAATGAATAGAACATATAGACATCACATACAACCTATAGCATCATCCTTTTGGAAAAGGCTAATAATGTACTCTAGTTTCTCCACAACTCATATTTTATAGACAGCAAAAGAAAAATATAACAATATATAACACACATGCAGATATCATTAAACGCAAGAAAAATCTAATCTGAAAATGTTGTCACATTTTTTTTGCTAGCACATGACGTACAAGCCCTGTAAATATCTTTCTCTGTATCTTTTAAATGAAATAAATAACAGGAAACAGACTGCTGAATGGAGTGGAAATGTTTTGGTATGCACATGTATTGCAGCACAGTTTAAATCAATTAAGAAAATATAAACATTTGCGGCAGTGCTGCTCATAATATAATTTAAACACACAATATGAGACTTTTCAGTTGCTGCAGTTGCTGCTCCAACATGTGGAGGAGAACACAGATTGGCTGAAATATTTCAGCCACTTGGCAGTGTTTATACAGGTAAGTTGCATTCTGAGAAATTCCCTATACATGTTTAGAAGTGTGAAAATGTGTTTTGCTACATAGGCACAAACAATATACAATATACAACTGTGATGTTTATTGCAAGTTAATGTAATTCCGAAATCAAGTTGTTACCTTGAATCATTGGCAAAAAATTCAAAGTAGTCGTGGTCTGGTAATGGCTGGAGATGCTCTTCCAACTGCTCTTTGGTTAGACTTGGAGGCAATCGACGAAGAACCACCTGTAACATAAAAGACTCCTAAATGGAAACAGTAATGCGTACATGCTTTTCTATAAAAAAAACACCATTCTGCAGTTTTTTTTTTTTGCAATAAAAAGATGAATGTATGCATGGTCTAAAATAAAATATTGTTGTTATTCTCCACTTGTGCACATTATTACTTCAATTTCACGTTTTGTAGCATTATTTATACTTAGTGTAATAAAAAAATAATAATAAAAAAAAAATAGATAAAATGTAAACGCAGTGTTCTAAAATTCCAAAAGTACCTAACATATCTGTATGTTAAAAGAGCGTAACAGCAATAAGTTTTAAAAAAGGATCTATCTTAGCTAATGTTTACTTTCACTTTTGGCCTATAATATCCTATTCTCTCTCAACTATAGACTTAACAAACAAATAATATTGTGTTATATTTATATATATTATTATTATTATTATTATTATGTTATAAAAACAGTCTATCCCTGATTATATTGCTACAGATCTGGTGCTTTTGCTGGATAAGTGGTTTATAGCAAATTATTCTTACAATATCCCATGTAAACAGATCAAGCAGTTGTGTAAGTAGGCTATGGTGTGTCCATGCATGGCCTGACAGCTCAGCTAGGAGCCAGGTGACTGTGTGCCAGCCCTGGGCTCAGGGAGTCCTGGCCAGTGTGTGCACCCAGCAGGCCCCAGGCCCTCTGACTGCCCTCACCTTGCTCATGACTTCCTTCTTCTCTTTCACCTTCTCCATCCTGTCCCCCTCGTCCACAGGGCCCAACTCCCCTCTCCTGTCTTTGGGTTTGGCATTCTCTTTGTCCTCCTTCATGGCTGAGGGCGAGCTCTTAGCCAGGAGATTGTTTAGTGACCAGAAGTAAGTGACTCCTGTCGTCTACTACTTCTCCTCAGCAATCTGCAGTCCCGCTCTCCGATTGGCTGCTCGCTCTGGTCACGTGACTACCAGTATGTCCTCTCGTGGCAGCCATATTGGATGGGGAATACTTTATATTTTCCCTTCAAATTTAAAAAAATAAATAAATCTGTTGCACTACACAGTAATCTGCTTCAATAAGTACATGCTTTACAAAGCACCAACTAAAGGTGCAGTAGCACTGGCTGTGTGCTGTTATTATGTCACTTTCCCATTTGGACTATTTCCCTTCCTAAGATGGACGCTTCGAGACGTCGTCAGTTGCTATGCTACTTCGGAGTCAACGAGTGCTAAACAAGAGAGAAGGCAACGCAGCGCAGCGTTCTCAACGCAGCCGTGCAGTACGAATTGTCGCCAGTGGGATTTATTTATTTATTTTTTTTAAATACAAACTGCTTGCAAATGGCTCCAACAAAATGGTTCCATTGTGTCAAATCGTACTGCGCACAGGGTGTTTGGAGCTCGGAAATCTGTGACGCAGTGCATAAAGCTTAGTAAACCTAATTAACCCTTTAAGGGCCAAGGCTTTTTTTTAAGATGCAACTCGTTTGTGCCATGCATTCATTCCACCACAATTTGTAAAGGAGAAATATTACATTACGTCGATACCCTATATGAATACATAACGCAAAATTAAATAGGAAGAAAATTATAAATGGGGGAAAATTAAAACATTTTTCCCATTCGTTTTATTTTGGGGAAATTCACATTATTGCAAACATCACAGATTTGTATTCTGCTACTGTACTCCAATACACATGTTTAGCCTTCCCCCTAATCCTGCCCTAGTCAACCCTTAAAGGACCACTCTAGGCACCCAGACCACTTCAGCTTAATGAAGTGGTCTGGGTGCCTGGTCCAGCTAGGGTTAACCCATTTTTTTTATAAACATAGCAGTTTCAGAGAAAAAGGTAAGTTTTTACCCCTTTCCCCCTTCCAGAGTATGTTTTCCTGGCACTATAGTGGTCCTTTAATGCAACCTTTATACTAACCCATAATCCAACTCATAATTCAGTTTCTAATCCTATCCGTAATCCGACATTAAAGGGACACTATAGTCACCCAGACCACTTCAGCTCAATGAAGTGGTCTGGGTGCCAGGTCCCTCGGGTTTTCACCCTTCAGATGTAAACAAAACAGTTTCAGAGAAACCGCTGTGTTTACATTTAGGGTTAATCCAACCTCTAGTGGCTGTCTTCCTGACAGCCACCAGAAGCGTATCTGCGACGCTGGAGGCACATTATGCCTCCATCGCACATAGCATCCATAGGAAAGCATTGAGAAATGCTTTCCTATGGACACTTTGAATGTGCGCACGGCATTAGCCGAGCATGCGCATTTGGCTCCACTGACGTTGGACGGGGGAGCTGACGTCGGCAGGGGAGGAGAGGTCACCAGCACCGAGGGAGGAGACCGTCGCTGGATTAAGGTAAACTGCTGAAGAGGTTTTAACCCCTTCAGCGTCACGGGAGGGGAACCCTGAGGGTGGGGGCACCCTCAGGGCACTATAGTGTCAGGAAAACCACTTTGTTTTCCTGACACTTTAGTGATCTTTTAATCCAGGGGTTCTCAACCCAGTCCTCGGGACCCCCTACCAGTCCAGGATTTGGGGATTACCTGGGTGTGTCTAAGGTGTTTAGAAAAAGGGGGAAAAAAAACCTTTGACTCTAAGGTGTTTTTTTTTTCTTTTTCTAAACACCTTAGACACACCCAGGTAATCCCTAAACCCTGGACTGGTAGGGGGTCCTGAGGACTAACGTTTAGAACCCCTGCATCTGACTCTAATCCAACCCATAATCCTTCCTAAAACCCCTGTCCTAACCCCATCCCCTATTCCCACCTCTCAAAGGATTCCCTCTGTTGATGTCAGTACTGACTTCCGCAGTGGGATTTCCTAGCTCGCACAGTACAGAGACTCTGTGAGCATTCTGTACTGTGTAATTGCAGCATGAGAAGGACAGCTCACTCTTGTGCTGTAGCTCTTCACAAATCAGATCCTGCTGCAGGAGAAAAGCGGGTGAGGGGAGAGGGGGCTGTGGGTGTAAGGGATGTCTAAAATTACTACTGCGACAGTTAACGGAATTTAAAGAGTTATGAGCAGCGATCACTTTGAGAGCTGCTCATATCCATCCTGTATGTCTAGAGCCACTAACTGTGACCCCAGCTGACAGAGGGGACCCCCAGATATCAAAAGATACCTGGGGATTACCTTTTTTTTTATTCTTGATGGGATTCTCTAGTGCCAGGAAAACAAACCCGTTTTCCTGGCACTATAGAATCCTACAGTGCCCCCCCTCCCTCACGCCCACCATTCCACTTCGCTCAGTCACTCACCTGAATCCAGGGCGGATGGGGGAGACCTAATGCGCATGCACGGCAATGGCTCTGCTCGCATTATGATTTCCACATAGGAAAGCATTGTTCAATGCTGTCCTATGGAAATTCTGGTGATGCTGGAACTTCTCATGCAAAGGGTGAGGATGTCCAGTGTCGTTTAGACAACCAAAAGTAATCTAAGCACCTGAAATGTCTTGTAGACAGCCACTAGAAAAGGACTTAACCTTACAGCCCCCAGCTAAGGAGCTAACTACCCACAAAGTGCCATACAAGTGGGGTACTCCACGATGCTTGATCATCCCTAAGGAATCTGGAACTTTAAAGATTCACGAGGCCTCAGAAACTACTAATGTCCTTCACACACTGGGGCTGTTGACCGACACTCTAGAGCCACATACTTCAATGACATTGCTACCACAGAGTTCCTGGGACCCTGATAGGGTTCGCACGTTTGTTCCGACTGCGCAGAGGGGAAATCCCGCAACTGCAGTGATACATGTTCTCAACCTGATGGCAAACTACACTGCCCCTCACTGTTGATTATGTTATGTTTTTTTATGTGTTTAGGTTTTTTTTTAAATTCATGTCATGTCAAGTGCCTTTAAATGCTCACCCTTTTGTACGGCCTAGCTGGAAAATGGGGTTTACCCCTACCCACTACATCCCCACATTGAATTACAGCCCAATTTTAGCACTGTGGTTGATAGCCTTTGGCGACCCTGTTCTGGCATACTTACCTTTAGTTATATAAAACGTCACAAAGGCAGCTGGCATTCTCTACTCCAACGTAACTACTTGCACTGACCATGTTATTTTCCTCTGGAGCGAAATGCTATGTTTGCATCTTACGTTACTTAACCTATATAACTTAAAAAAGAGTCAGATACTACTAGGAGTTTATTCTTTAAAGCTTACTTAACTTGTGATAATCCTATTTTGTTTGCACATGTATACGCTAATGCTTGTTTTAAAGGACCACTATAGGCACCCAGACCAATTCAGCTTAATGAAGTGGTCTGGGTGCCTGGTCCATCTAGGGTTAACCCTTTTTTCTATAAACATAGCAGTTTCAGAGAAACTGCTATGTTTATAATAGGGTTAATCCAGCCTCTAGTGGCTGTCTCATTGACAGCCGCTAGAGGCGCTTCGCTTCTCACTGTGATTTTCACAGTGAGAAGATGCCAGCGTCCATAGGAAAGCATTGAGAATGCTTTCCTATGAGACTGGCTGAATGCGCGCGTGGCTCTTGCCACGCATGCGCATTCAGCCGAGGAGGAGGAGAGGAGGCGGAGAGGAGGAGGAGAGTCCCCCGCCCGGCGCTGGAGAAAGAGTTTAACCCCTTCCTCTCCATCCAGCCCGGCGGGAGGGGGACCCTGAGGGTGGGGGCACCCTGAGGGTTGGGGCACCCTCAAGGCACTATAGTGCCAGGAAAACTAGTATGTTTTCCTGGCACTATAGTGGTCCTTTAAGTTTTTACTTTGTGCAAGGTACTTATCACCTGCCTCAATAAAACAAAGATTGACAAAAAAAAAATTTATGTTTCAATTCCAGACAATTTATCACTTTTTCCTTTTCATTCACTACATTTTGAAATGTTGCAAATTGAAATCTGAATGGCAAAATTGAAGCTAAATGTACAGTGAATGTAGCCGAGTTTAAAAAAAAATTTCAGACCATCAATTTTGGTCTAAATATTGCATTTGGATTTTAATTTGCTAAAATTTAGAGTTTAGTGAATACACCTCTAGTAACCCAACAGCTACTCTAAAATAATTGTAACTGGCGTGAGAGTAACATGCAGTAGCATACCTTCCAAGAGTTCAAAAGGACAAATAGGGCCGCTTACATTTTAGGGGTGTGCAAATGGGCAGGGCAATTCTGAGAAATCTTAGGTGACTTGCTAATAATAATGTATGCAATTAAAATTCAATTTAGAACAAGAAAAATTTATTTTATTTACACAGACTGATTTCTAAACACATTTGTTGTAGTTTAAAGGCACATTACTGTGAATATTATTGCTGTAGAGCTATGTTATAAACACACACACGCGCATGCACACACGTGCAGACAGAGGGATTCTAAAATAGGGACTGTTTTTCCTAAATAGGGACACTTGGGAGGTATGAAGTATTAGTTTTAGCTTGCTTGCTGCACTCTCGCGAGACTTGATTCTGAGACTGCGGAGACTAGTTGCAGCGGCCATGTTTGATGAGGGCAATGTCCTGTTTTGAATTGAAAATCCAGCGCAATAAAAATGAAAACCCAAACCACAAACTCTAAGGGGAATTTATGTAATAAAATAGGTATCACACTTTTTTTTTCTTTCGTTTTTTTTGTTTTTATTCTCCAAACATTAATGCTTCCTCACAAGCACATTATTATGCATACAGGGACACATTCCTGACGTCAATGAACCAGTAACTTCTAGCTGCTCAGGAAAATTATATGAAATTATAAAATTTTCATTTTCGTCTCGATCTATGTTTTTTTATGGTATTAATTGGCTCCACTCCAAATTTTGCTGCCCGGTTTGCCAGGATCCAAAATGGCCGCCGTGTGAGTGACATCCCGGAAGTAGCGGTGCATTGTGGGCCAGGAGAGTGACCCTGAGCTGGTTTGCTGCTTGCTCAGTTGTTTGGTGCCCAGAGAAGGCAGGGGTGAATCATGTGGTATGAAATCATACCCAGCTTAGCTATAATGACTGGCTGCCTCATGGTGCCAGGATTGGCCACCACCTGGATCCAGAGGTACACCAATGGGGGCAAGGTGAGTGCTTCTCATGGACCTTATTCCTTGTGTAATATGGCTGCAGGGATAGTGCTATGTGTATTATTGTTATTAGCTGTAGGGAGGATGTGGTGTGTCTTCCTATAGTTGTGAGCATGGTTATTAAAAAAACAAAATAAAAACAAATTACAAACTCTATCTAGTAAATATCAAAATAAAAACTTTAGGTGATATTAGCTGATCTGGGGAAAAAATATATCCAACAATGCCGTAATCACAGCTTGTTAGGGTATGTTAGCCCAAATTGGGATATTGCAGTTGGGATATTTTTTTTTGTTAAAGGGTTATACCAAACACCATGACCACTTCAGTGATTTGATGTAGTCTCGGTGCCTTTAGTCTTGCTAGGAGACGCTATACAAATAGAGTTGAACTCCTCTGCTGGAGGTATAACAATTGGGGTGTCTTCAACCAATCAAAGGGACACTATTAGCACGCAGATCTCTTAATTGTAGTCCCGCGTTAACCTTGTAGAAACGGCAGTGTTTACATTGCAGGGTTTAATTGCCTCAAGTGACTGACTCTGGAGGTACTTTTTGTGAAATAGCAAAGTGGATTGGCTGAGATCATCAATCTTGAAGATCTCAGCCACGGAGGCGGGACAGCAGTGGGGAGAACAGCACTGCAATGGAAATAAGGTAAGTGAATCTGTGTAATGTTTAACTCCTTACAGATGGGGACCGAACACCTGTACTGTACAGGGCATTATTGTGTAGGAAGGCACATTTTGTATTCCTAACGCTATAGTGTTCCTTGCTGGCTAGTATCAGCTATGTGCAACTTTCATTGCACAGAATGTCAGTCATTGGCTGATAGCTGCCAGCTGATGCTCTCAACCAATGAATGGAGACCGCCACAGCTGTGCAGAAGCTGGAAGCAGATGACCAGACCTCCAGGGAGCGTCAGAACCCAGTAAGGTAAGGGGGAAAATGGTTGCGAAACGGTTCTATCCATTATAGGAGAACTGAGCCAGGGTATTCCTGACATCGTAACCACTACAGCGGGTTCTCGGCAGCACGGAACTCAGATCTCAGTAATCATATGTGGTTACACTGAGATTTAGTTAAAGCAGCCATGAGCTTACCTTTCTCCAGTCATTTCCTCTTTACCAATCAGTTTTTCTTTTTCGATTTATTTCTCTTTAAAACACATAAGACAAAGTAGCATACCCTGGGCAGAGGAGTGCAGAGGCAGTATATCATTGCCAAAACCTTTAACCTGGTGCCGCAAACTATGAAAAGAATTAAGGTGATTTAGGGTCCAATAGAAATATGGGAACACTGAAGAGTAGTACAGTCAGGACACATAATACGGTGAGGCCAAGACAGACCTTCTTTAATTAGAATGTACTGAATATATAGGAAATTAGTTGAAATAATGTGCTTTTTATATATCATTTTTTATTTACAGGAAAAGAGACTTGCTCGCAATCATTACCAGTGGTATCTAATGGAGAGAGACAAGAGAGTTTCTAAGGAACAAATATATTACAAATCAAAGGTAAAGCTTTGTTCAGTGTGGGAAATCCTAGAAGCCTTTGTGTATACCTTTCACTAAATAGTATTTCAGCTTGTACTCCTTGCATAGGTCATGCAACAAGGCTCTCCCCGGTCATTGTCCTTTTTTTTTTTTTACTTTTTTTTTTTACATAATTGTTCAGTCCCACACCAACACTCATATACAAGCTTTGTTGACCATACAAGTACTTGTATAGAGTGGACCTGCAGTACTAGCTCTTGTGGTGTACCAAGTGCTGTAGGTTTAGAATGTATAAGTAAAGGTTTAGCCTGGCTAAGCATTGTAGAGGTTCGGATATACTCCTTGATGGCAGGTGTTCCCTAACTGTATGTCACAATCAACACTTTCAGCTCTAAATAGCACTAACTTCACCTTACCTTAGCGATATTGTTTTAAATTATGCTGCAGTAGGGCAGAGGTTTCCGGGATGAGTTCAGCCTTCATTGAACACAATTATTTCTGATTGACTAGTCTAGTGAAATGCAGACCCTTTAAATGTATTTTTATGTTTTTTTGTAAGGCATTAACCAATGGATGCATTTCATACAGATTATACCATTATAACTTTGCATCACTGCAAACATAATGTACAGAATGTAAATTGGTCCATGGTATTGTTGTCTAATAGTGCAGCAACTGGTGCAAAAACACTGGAGTTCTAGGTCTCTCTATGTGAAAGCAGGAATTTTGCTTACTTCGTTGCCTTACAAGGTTCAGAGTGTGCACACTGAGCATATCTCTCTGCAGAACTAAAGCCTTGTTTAGAAAACTGTGAATTAGTAGTGGCTGTGGTTTGGCTGCTATCAACTTAGTCTTGTATGATGAGTTGACCTGAAGCTGGGGTCTAAAATGTATACCTCTTACAAACCTTAGTTGGACAGGTGTTAATGTGGTTTTAAAAAAAAAAAAAAAACATACAGCCTTTTAGTAGTCCTTCTTCTTGCAAACGAGGGGTCTCTGTAGTGCAGCACTTGTCCTCGAAAACCTGTCTGACTATTTTTGAACAAGGCAGCCATTCTTATAGCTTAGGAGTTATGTGCATGCAAGAATAAACTGTGTTGGCTAGGTTGACATGTTACAGTGCTCACAGCCTATTATTTCTAACAAGGTTGGATTGATAATGCTGAAGATCCCTTCCGCGTTATCCAAATAACTGCAAAGATGCTAGGTGTAATGGAGATTCCCCCCTTTTCTAAAACAGTTTAACAATGACTGGGAAAATGGCATCCAAAGACTCTTTGCACCATAACCACTACAAGGTGTAGTGATTCTGGTGCTTAGAATGTCTCACTAATATGTCTACACATATACACGGACATGGAGACTGGCAGTTTACAGAGAAATTTTGAGCAATGGCCATGCTCCTGCCCGTGTTCCAAACAACTAAGGAACTCAAAGCAGAAAACTGTACCACTGCCATTACTGATCTGTGAACAGGATGAGCCAAAGATAGTGTTTGACTTACTGCCCCACGGGTTGAGCTATAAGCTTTCTACTCATCCCTTCCACTATTGCATGTACAGTTAAAGGTTTACGTTGGAATGGTTATGATGCAAGGAGAACCCTGACCAAGTTCCCCTGTAATGTTATATTAGGGGAGAAAGTAAAGTGTGGTTAAAAAGCCTGTATCTCATGCAAAACACTTTTTTTTTATTTTTATAAACCATAAAGGCTATTTTAAAGGGTTACTGTAAGCACCATAGCAGCCTATATGCTCAGTGTGGTCCCCAACCCAGTCCTCATGGACCACAAACAGTCTGGGTTTTGTCAGTAGCTCCATTTGAATAAATAGGGGAAATACATAAATCCTGGACTGTTAGTGGTCCTGCGTAATCTCAGTGTCCCTGCAAACAGAATTTTATAACTTCTCCAGTTTGTAGATAGATTTTATAACTTCTGCAGTTTGTAGATAAGGTCAGGGACTAATTAAAAGTATTTTGAAATATTGGGCAGACTAGATGGGCCGAATGGTTCTTATCTGCCGTCACATTCTATGTGAAACAAAACCGGGTGTCTATTTAGAAGAAGAAGCAGTTATACTTTGCTGTGCTGTTGATTATTTTGTATGGGCCTGAATAATTCCAGGAGTTTTTATACCAGTTACATGATGCATTACATATATTTAATTGTCATTTTTCTTTCTTTCTTTTTTTTTTTAGGGATTGGAAAATATTGTCTAATTTTCAAGGTGCCGAATAGAAGAAACCAGAAATGTAACACACCTTTCATTTCATTATATTTAAATAAAATGTGTAAATATATCATCTCAAATAATGATCATCTTTATTTACAGTGTTACACTCCATTACTAAACACATTTACAAAAGAGAAGATTTGTTTTGGTATGTTTACAGGGGGCATCTTTATTCAAAAGAAAAGGTACATTAGTTTAGTGCTTTTTTTTTTTTTTTTTTTTTTTTTTTTTTTTTTTACTTAGAAAGTAGAACAGCACATATTTATTAGAGAGCTATAACCCTCAAAATTCCATTGTCATTTTAAAAGAAGGTTTATTCTGCCCTTTTGGCATTCATTTGATCAAATTAGCTATACTACAAAAGCCCAGGAATGGTGGAGGTATGAGTTTGCCTGATTTTATTCAATACTTCTACACCACCAAAGCTGCCTCTGCCTTTAAATTTAATCTCGATTGTGAATGCCCTCAATGGCTTGAGATGTAGGCAGCTAAGCTTTCTCCACACCTTATTAAGGAGGTGTTGTGGCTGCCTTCACCTCAAAGACCATGTATAACCAATATGTTTCATTCTACAAAAACTACAATTAAATTGTTTTAGAGCAGGGGTTCCTAGTTATTTTTTGTTTCCGTGGAACCCCACCGCCGGGTAAAAAAACAAAAACAAAAGTGTTTTTTTTTTTGTTTGTTTGTTTTTTTAATGTATGTCTGTGTATCTGTGTATGTATGTTTGTATCTTGCACACACCTTGACACACAGTGTGTGTCTGTTTCAACGTATGTGTATCTAACACACACGGGCACATAGTGGCACACAAATATACACACATTGACACTGTCACACTCAGATACACACTGATATACACTGGCACATACACATACCGACCTACACAAACACATTCAGATACACACAGTGACACATACACAAACCTTGATACACACTCAGACACATACTCTTTGACACACACATACTCTCTTACAAACACATACACACTCAAGCACACATACACACTTTGACAGACACGCAAACAAATACAAACTCCCTAACAGACACACATACAATTTATTATTATTTTTTTTTAAATTTTACTCCACCCAGCCTCCCTACCTCTGGGAGTGCTGGCATGGAGTCTCTATGTCCCTGTGGTCCAGTGGTGCTTCTGGGTTGAGCCTGGGGTTCTGTGAGGCAGCTGGCGTGGGGTCCAGTGGGGCTGCTGAATGGCTGGTGTGCGGACGACGAGGGAGCAGTGATCTCCCTGCTCAGCTCCCTTGCGCGCCTCTTATTGATGCCGGAGTGACGTCGTATTCCAGCTCCGGCATCACTGCTGTGTGCACAAGGGAGCTGAGCAGGGAGATCACTGCCCACTGCTCCCTCGCCACCCACAACCTTTTTGTTTTAAGAAATTGTTGCGGAACCCCATTCTCGCGGAACACCCATTGGGAAACACTGGTCTAGAGCAACCCCTATATCAGTGTTAAAGATGTTTCTGATATTAATGTGAATTACTGGTCCCTTCTTTCCTTTTCTTAACTGAAAACTAGATATGCCTTGGATGAAATAATGACTGATTGAATAATTGATAGATGTGGCCTTTTTGGACAGCATCTGACAAACTGTAAATTGGACATGTCTCTTTTTGAAATGATCCTGCTCGGAAACAGATGATTTTTGTTTGCTGTAATTTGTTGGCTGGAATGATGAAAGAAAAGTTTGATTCAATGATCAAGTGGGAAAGGGAATTAGGTAAAGAACTTGAATTCACTGAATGGTTAGAGTCTGCATTGGCCTTGAAGGGTATCACTCAATGTATATCGCATTTGGAATCTCACTAAAAGATTCTATATAGATGGTACCTCACTCCCTCCTGGCTTTTTAAGTTACAACTGTCACATACCAATTAGTGTTGGGAGTATGGCCAGGTGGCTCGCCTATACCATACGTTTTGGCCATGCCCGAAATTGCAATCTTATTGGGACTCTATTCATCTTTTAATTAAAACTATTGATGACACCGTTTTAACTTTACGTCCTGAACTGTGCCTGTGTAAGCGAATTTCTGCTAATTTAGCAAAACATAAACGGATCATATTAGGATATCTTTTGATCTCACCCACCATGGTTCTTCCACGACATTGAAAAATCACTTGTTCCAGAAATTAAGGAAGTTCTTAATATATTGTTTGATAATATGAGATGGGAAATCACACTTAGCCCACCATCAGATACACGCAATATTCTACGGTATGAATGGGATATTTGGGGAAAAAGATGTCAGAAAAAAATATAACCTAAATACGTGACCCCACCTGACCAGATATGGATATTTAATATGACATTCAAAGTTATGTTGCACTTAATAAATGATTATTTTATTACTATATTTCCATTTACCGGAGAATTGTAATATACCATTATGCCCCAGTATTTTTTTTTGTTTTTTTTTTGTTTCATTCTTTAAAATGTTCCTTTTTTTTTTTTTTACAACTTTTCAATAAAAACGATTTGAAAGAGAGAAGAACAGCAGGACCTGCACATCCCCATTATTTCAGGTGTACATTTAAAAGCAATTCGGACAGATATAATGGTTTGTGGGCTTCCAGGCCCAATATGGAATTGTAAATATTGAAAAGGATGCGCAGGTCCCAATACATGCTTTTTTTAAATTTATTTTTTTTGGTTTTTACTGTATGTATTGGGGCTGATGTGTACTGTGGTCGTTGCTGCCGCCCAGGAGTAATGGGAGTTTGAGCGCAGGACTTGTTTTTTTTTGTATTTGTATTCCCAAAACATGCAACAAACAGAATTTAAAAGTGGGAAACATTTTCTGGGTCCCAATCGTTTTTGTACCGTTTGGAATGTCCACGGGTCTCCTCACTTTGTTTTTTTTCTCTCCACATGCCCTTGCGTGATTCCTAGACATAGGTGAATGTGTGGGTTATTTGTGCTTTTTAATAAAAGGGTTTATTGTTTGGTTTTATATTTTCTTTATTTAGAATTTCACAAAAATAATTAAATGCAGAAGTTCTGAGCATAAATGACAAGTAAAAGATAGTAGCAAACACTTAGAAAATTCTGCTCAGAACAATGATGGTGCCACAAAGAAACACATCAGGTTTGCCAGTCATATACCCAGTAGAATCCTATAGGCAATATTTTTGTTTTAATTCTGTGAAATGTAGAATGTTTGCTTGATGAGAGAACAAAGACACTGGCATAATGTAAGCGTAACTTCAGTTAAAATGGAACATTAAGAACATTCCCATATGAAGAAACATAATTGTATAAAGAGCTTCTCTCCAGCTAATCCCACTCGCACCGCATGTTGCTGCTGCATCTGAAAAAAAAAATGAAAAAAAAAAAAATTGTAAGTACCAGAACTCCCATGAAGCACCAGGTGAAGCTAACTGGTAATAATAAATAGTGCCTTAGATTACTGTGACCAGGGCCGGACTGGGAAAAAAATTAGGCCCGGGCATTTTTCAATCAGAGCGGCCCCCTAAGAAGGGGGCGGGGCCAGAGAGGGTGTGTTTTGTCATCACTAATGACAAGCACGCCCCCTCTCAAAGTGAGCATGTTGGTTCAATGCCCAGAGCCCTGCTGAAGAGCTCTGGCATTAGAAAAAGGCCCTGAATTTGTTCTGCGCAGCGCAAGCAAATTTAATAACATGCTTGCGCTGTGTTTGCTTTTAAATTGTCTCTGGTGTCTCAACAAGTGGGATACCAGAGGACAAAAGGGCCAGGAAAGTGTATGGTGCATGTGTTTGGAGCCTGCTTGTGGGATTGCGTGTGTGTAGAGTGTGGTGTGGTATTGTGTAAATAGGTCAATTTCAATGTTTGTGGTGTAATATGTGTGGCTAGGGGCTGTAGAGAGTGTGTGTATAGGGGCATAGTGTTATAGGGGATGTAGCGAGTGTGTGCATACGGGCTGTAGTGTGTGTGTATAGGTGACGTAGTGTGTGTAGGGGTTGTAGAGAGGGTGTGTTTAGAGAATGTTGTATGTGTTTGCTGACAAGGAATGTAGTGTGTGTGTAGGTGGTGCAGTGTGTGTGTAGGAGATCTAGTGTGTAAAGGACCCAGAGTGTGTATAGGAGATTGTGTGTGTGTGTGTGTGTGTGTGTGTATAGAGGATTAAGAGTGCATATAAGGTAAGGGATCTAGCGTGTATCTGGAGCGTAATGTATGTAGTGCTGTAGTGTGTGTGTGTGTGTGTGTGTATATATATATATATACATACATATATATATTTGGACGTATTGTATGTGTGAGGGGCGCAGTGTGTGTGTATGTAAGAGGGGTGCTGTGTGTGAGGGTGTTTTTATCTGCCGTCACATTCTAATTTTCTTTGTCTGTTAACTCACTGAGGGTTATTTTATATATTATATATATATATATATATATATATCTGTAAATATATATATATATATATATATATACATACACACACATATATATATATATATATGTGTGTGTGTGAGCGAGGGTGCTGTCTGTCTGAGGGTGCTGTGCCTGAGTGCGCTGTGTGTGTCTGGGTGCGCTGTGTGTGTATGGGTGCGCTGTGCGTGTCTGGGTGCGCTGTGCGTGTCTGGGGGTGCTGTGTGTGTCTGGGGGTGCTGTGTGTGTCTGGGTGATGTGTATGTCTGGGGGTACTGTGTGTGTCTGGGTGATGTGTGTGTCTGGGGGTGCTGTGTGTGTGTGATTTTTTTTAATTTAAATTAATTTTTTTATTAATAATAATAATTTTTAAAAAAGTTATATCCCCCGTTTTGCCTGGGACGGGGGGGAGCCGTTCTGCCATGGGAGAGCCATGCTGCCTGATCCCTGGTGGTCCTAGTGGTGAGCGTGAACTCTAGCCTGTAGGCAACCGCGGCAACGCTCAGAATCCCGCGAGAGGACCCGGCGGAGCTGCTGGATAGAGCTCCACCGGTCCTCTCCTCCCTCCCTCACACCCCAGCAAGCGGCCGCCTGGAAGTGTCTCTGGGCCGGTAAAGGGAGATCTTTGATCTCCCCACCGGCCCATGGAGACACACAGCAGGGCCGGCGCTCGGGTAGCGCTGGCCCTGCAGGAGCCGGCCAGGGAGATCCCCTGCCGGCCTCGGCCCCACGGCCATCGCGGCCCACCGGGCATTTGCCCGGTATGCCCGATGGCCAGTCCGGGCCTGACTGTGACTGATAGTAACTGACTGAGTGATAGCAAGACTGCATACCTACTTAAAGGACCACTATGGGCACCCAGACCACTTCAGCTTAATGAAGTGGTCTGGGTACCTGGTCCAGTTAGGATTAACCCTTTTTGCTGTAAACAGCAGTTACAGAGAAACTGCTATGTTTACCTATGGGTTAATCCAGCCTCTAGTGGCTGTCTCACTGACAGCCGCTAGAGGCGCTTCCGTGCTTCTCACTGATTTTTACAGTGAGAAGACACCAGCGTCCATAGGAAAACAGTGAGAATGCTTTCCTATGGACTGGTTGAATGCGCGCGCAGCTCTTGCCGCGCATGCGCATTCAGCCAGGGACGTCAGAAGAGGGAGGAGAGTCCCCAGCGCCAAGGGAGCCCAGTGCAGGAAAAAAGGGTAAGGGATTAACCCCTTCCTCCCCCTTCAGCGCCACAGGTGGGGGCACCATCAGGGCACTATAGTGCCAGGAAAACGAGTATGTTTGTATCATGTATACTGTTATTAGATGTCTGCTCAAATAGCACAGCTTACTTACAATCCGTAATAAGTAGATAATGCAGCTTCATACTACAAAGGATTACGTGCTGATTTGTGTAATCTCACAATATTTAAATAAGCAACTAACCTGAGCAGTGGAAGGCTGTATATCGTATGCAGAGCATACCTATACTATTGTGTAAGAATTTTTTTTAATTTGTTTTATGCAGTCACATACTCTACATTGACTGCAAAAAGCATAGGAACCTTAAAACAGTAGGGATGCAAACCTACAAATTCCAATGCTTTAGTGTCCCTGTTTGTTTTTAAATAGGAATCCCCCATCCCCGTGTGTCTCGTAAAAATACTAAAATGGCCATTTTACTTACCTTTCTGTTACTTAGGCTATCTCAGAGCTGTTTAACTCTCCTACTCTGGGAGTGTGTTTAACCACTCAGGGTAAACATTGCTGTTTCTGCAAAATGTTAATGTTTTATTTCGAAAGGTTAAACTGACTAAAGTGACATAAGTGGTCCTTTGTGCTTTAATGAAAATTCTTCAAGAATCATTTAAAAGTTAGTAAGTCCTATTTTTATTTATTTTTTGCTTCTTAAACTGAGGGCAGATATAAAACATAATCTATGGCAGAGATTGGTTTTGGTGCTGGGCAGAGACCGTGTGAATACAGTTTGCAAGTGATCCTGAAGTATTGAATTATAGTGATAGGTGCTGACCTTTCCATAAAACAGCAGATTGAACTCCAAGCCAATACACATCATAAGCCTCTGCCACTGTTGCTCTAAAAAACAAAGAGAAATAAAACGATTATTTTTTATTTTGCTTACTTAAATTTTAAATCACCTTATTTAGGCTTTTCAAAATCTGCGCTAGCCAGCCACCACATGGTTAACCCAGCAGGCAAATAATTTAGATTTTTTTATTTTATTTAAATATGAACTGGGATTTAAACATTCGGGTCTGAATTTCAGCCACATTTCCAAGCCACCAATTAGTTTAATATTGGGGTTGGGGGGGAGGGGGTAGAACAAGGAGGCTGGACTGCAGGCTCTATAACAACTTTAATAAGCTGTTAAACTGCCTACCGTGGCCCTTTAAATATGGACATAACTCAGGCAGTGGTGTATTTTGGTTTTGTGCTTCCCTAGGCATGACAAAACTCGGGCATCCTCATCATCTAAACTTCTCTCCCTTTTTAAAACCAACACGCTCTTTGCCTGACAGACATACACCGACATACAATCTCTGACAGATGCAGTCATTAGCACACACACTGTTTAACCAACACACTCACTGACAGACACTCACATTCAATGATGGACACACATATACTCACTGACAGACACACACTCAGTATCAGGAACACACCAAATCAGTCAGACACACACACTTACAAACACACATACACATTCACTGACAGACACATACACTCAGTGTCAGAGACACACCTTCACTGACAGACACACATACACTAGCTGGCAGACACATATACACACTCACTGGCAGACATACTCTTAGTGACAGAGATACCCGCAAGTACTGACAAACACACACACTCTGACAAACATATACACTCTTTGACAGACACACATACAAACTCACTGACAAACACACACTCTCACTGACAAATACATATACACTCTCATGGGCATGGAGTCTCTATTTCCCCGGGGTCCAATTGGGCTGCTGGGCGGAGCATGCATCAATGCAGGTGTGCGAGGGAGCTCTTAGTGTGCCGGGGCCAGAGTGATGTCATATTCTGGCTCCGGCATCAATGCGGGGCGCGTGAGGGAGCTGAGCAGGGGAGTGTGCTCCCTCGCCGCCCACCTCCATTACAAGCAGATGCCTGCCTCGGGAGGCTCTAAGGTGGCCAGCTCCTAGGCCCCCCAGGAGAAGAGGCTGTCAAGGCATCTGCCAGGCTAAAAATACAGCGCTGAACTTTGGCTCATTGGGAGCCTAAATTGCAAAATCCAGATATTGTTAAATAGTGTGAACAAATTCAGTCCGAATGGGTACTGTGGAGAAGGTTCCCCCTCTCAATTTGCTTTTTACTCCTCTTGAAATGGACAAAGTTACCGGCGCTGCTTCTCTGCGCCACCTCCTGATGTCACTGGGACTGCGCATGGTCAATTCATAGGCTTCTCATAGAGAAGCCCATGATTGGACCATTTCACTGGCTCAGAGCACATGCGCATGCTACAAGCCGGCGAGGGGAGGGAGGGAATGGGGAGAAGGGATCGTTCACAGGAAACCTCGATTCTCCTTGCACTGCCTGCAAGGGGAAGATTTTCACATCTGTTGTCAGCATGCAGTGCTCGTTGACAACAGATGTATTTTATGCATAGAATTGACATTGACAGCCCGGATCAGCGTTCTGGGCTGCCAGTGTCACGTGCTAGGTGTGCAACAAGCCCCCAGCACACAATTACTAATATCTTAGTATGTGCAGTGATTCAAGTTGAAACACTGCACATGCTGACTCCTACCACCATGACCAATTCAAATCACTGAAGTGGTCATGGTGGTTGGTGTAATTATTTTGATAAGTTAGCTTTTGCATTCTTACTAAGGAATTTAGCTCCACAATGCAATTTGATTTAAACTTTTTGCCCCTTTAAGCATTAATAAAATCCACGACTCTAAACTTACACAAAGAATATAACTCCTGGGCAGTTTGAATCTGGCGGCATCCAAGTGTACATTGTAGACTGTGTCTTTAAATTGGTGTTGGAGTGTGTAATCGCTCCATTGGGATTTTCTGGGCACTGAAATAAAAATTATTTAGGGTTAAAGGGACACTATAGTCACCAGTGCAACTACATGTATTCCTGACCCTATAGTATTAACACAACCATCTAGCCCCCCTGGGCCCCTCATGCCTCCATTAATATAGTAAAAATCTTACTGTATTCAAGCCAGAAGCTGTAAATCTGCATGCTGTTAGACTCAGGAAAAACAAGCAGTCTGCTGACATGTGATAGCCTGATCCAATCACAGTGCTTCCCCATAGGATTGGCTGAGACTGACAATGAGGCAGATCAGGGGCAGAGCCAGCATGAGTCAAACACAGCCCTGGCCAATCAGCATCTTCTCATAGAGATGAATTGAATCAATGAATCTCTATGAGGAAAGTTCAGTGTCTGCATGCAGTGGGAGGAGATACTGAATCACAGGATGCTCGTGCACAGCAGATCTGAGTGGATGGAGGCATATTATGCCTCCATCAACTCAGAAGTCCCTCTGGTTCACTCTGAGTGACTGCAACTGGAGGTGTTCCTGGCTTTCAATGTAAACACTGTATTTTCTCATAAAATACAGTGTTTACATGAGAAAGGCTGCAGGGAGCTATAGTTCTCACCTGAACAACCTCATTAAGCTGAAGTTGTTCAGGTGACTATAGTGTCCCTTTAAAATAGTCATAGAGCTCAGTGAAGAAATTTCAAGTCGTGGGGATTTGCAGCAAATGCATGAAATTAAGTATCTCAACAACTTGAAGATACCCAGATACTCTCTTGAGAGAGGAAGGGGTTAAACACTTACTTTTCTCCAGCGCCTGGCGGGGAGCTGTACTCCTCCTCTCCTCCTTGCTCGCGACGTCATCGGCTGCATGTGCGGCAGGAGCCGCGCGCGCATTCATCCGGTCGCATAGGAAAGTATTTACAATGCTTTCCTATGGACGCTTGCGTGCTCTCACTGTGATTTTCACAGTGAGAAGCACGCAAGCGCCTCTAGCGGCTGTCAATGAGACAGCCACTAGAGGATTTGGAGGCTGGATTAACCCATTTATAAACATAGCAGTTTCTCTGAAACTGCTATGTTTATAAAAAAAAAGGTTAATCCTAGAGGTACCTGGCACTCAGACCACTTCATAAAGCTGAAGTGGTCTGGGTGCCTAGAGTGGTCCTTTAAGTCCGGCAGCTACAAACATTATGGTTTCAGAGAAACAGCAATGTTTATATTGCTGGGTTTAAGGAGCACTATAGTGCCAGGAAAACGGGTTTGGGTTAATAGGTCCCCCCTCCCCTCCTTGTGGCCCCCCTCCTGCTGGGCTGATGGGGTTAAAACCCCTTCAGCCACTTGCCTTAATCCAGTACCGGGCTCCCTCGGCGCTGGTGACCTCTCCTCCCCCTGCCGACGTCAGCTCCTGAGTGGAGCCACATGCGCATCCAGAGCTGCGCGCACATTAAAAACACCCATAGGAAAGCATTTCTCACTGCCTTCCTATGGGCATCTGAACTCACGCTGCGTGAGTTCAATGCGATTTTCACACTGAGAATCGCGGAAGCGGCCTCTAGTGGCTGTCAGGGAGACAGCCACTAGAGGCTGGATTAACCCTGCAATCTCTGAAACTGCTGTGTTTTCAGCTGCAGGGTTAAAACTAGAGTGACCTGGCACCCAAACCACTTCATTGAGCTGAAGTGGTCTGGGTGCCTATAGTGGTTCTTTAAGACAACCTCTAGTGGCTATCTACCAGACAGCCACTAGAGGCACTTCCTGGCTTTTCATGGAGTTTGACTCCATTAAACGATGCTGGATGTTCTCATGCTTTGCATGCTTTAAGGTTTTAAAAAAAATCACCAGAATTTGTATTCAGCTTTTTTGGTCAATTATTTAGTAGAGCCACTAGCACTCTGTGATAAAAAGGGATAGACCACTATCATTCCAAGGTTGACAGTAACATTGAGTTAACTAATTACACACAGACTGCAGGATGAACCTGAAAACAGTTATAAGCTATACGAAAGTTTTCTGATATTATTTACCTAACTTTCCCTCAAAAAAAACAAACAGTGGAGTTACTATCTCTCTAATGTAAATTCTTAAAAAAAAAAATTTTTATTATTATATATATCAATTTCTGTATAAAAACACAATAGTTTATTTATCTTCACTAATAAAAATATGAATTGCAAAATTTAAGCAACAATTTAAAATTTGGATGAAATCTCACCGAGAGACAAAAAAACAAAATGGTTTTTAGTTTGCTACAATACCGTGTTCATTAAATAAACTCTACATTTAACATTCCGAGGACATAAACTTGTTTCTGCATTGCTAATATTTACTTATAGATAGAATTCTTACTCTAAACATCTGTCTGTCTGCCCAGTTAAGTTTATCTGAATATTTCATGGTTTACCGGTAAGATCTTAGTATTATTTGGTGGCTGAAGCCATTTTCCAAGAAGGTCGGTCTGCTGAAACGTCCGAGCCTCCAACAGTAGACCTCTGTACGCAGGGCCAATTATTTGAACTGTAAAAGATGCAAAACATAGAAATTGTCTGAGCATACATCATAAATCATCCCCAACCAGTTTAGACATCTAATAGAACTCTGATGTATTGTGGCGTACAAGAGCGTCCGTTGTTTAAACATCTTATAGCTAACGAGGTGCAATGTGCAAGACATCATTACCTGTTATAGGTTTTCCACTTTGATACGAGCTGGAACTAGTCTTAAATATGTACGGCGCAGGATTCGGCTGTGGAGAGATTCCTTGGTGAACGGGCATCATTGACTGGCAAGCCGATATAGGTGCTCCATTTGGTAACTGGACACTCACCCTCAGGAGTATTGAGAAAGCCAATAGCTTGGACAGATTGGTAAGAGACATCGTTTGGATGTGTGAGCTGCGTTTGTGGGCTCAGAGTGAGTCACTGACTACCCTTTCATCTCATAAACATCCTTTAACTTACGAAACAAAAGTACAAGGGTTGGGGCGTGCAAATTCTTTCTAAGCCTATTATGTTGTGGAAAATTAATTTTTTTGCATGAAGTCTTTAAAAAAAAAATCAGTATTACATAAACTGTATTAATAAAATTACTGCGCTTAAAAATAATTCTCTGTGAGTATTGCGGTAGTTGTGCCCTATCCTCAGTAAACGTTATTGCAGTGATTGATTTAATGTGGTAAATAAAGTAGCACAGGTACGTTAAAAATAGAACTTCCCTCCTTTGTCCTTCTACACTGTGGGCGACTTTGCCCCCAATGATCCTGTAGGTGCACTCATGCCCGTTTGTGCATATATAGACAATTGACAAGAAAGCATTGCGCACTCTGACTGCAGAGGTTAAACTAATTCACGGGCTAAGCAGCTAAAATAAAAATAGAAAAACTGGTGAGATTTAAAAAAATAAATAAATAGAGCAACCAATGGCTCACTTTTATTTAGCTATTTAGTTGCGTAAAAATCTTATTAGTGAATAAGTGGGAATTGTCAAAAATTCTAAATTAAAGGAACACTATAGTCACCTAAACAACTTTAGCTTAATGAAGCAGTTTTAGTGTATAGATCATTCCCCTGCAATTTCACTGCTCAATTCACTGTCATTTAGGAGTTAAATCACTTTGTTTCTGTTTATGCAGCCCTAGCCACATCTCCCCTGGCTATGATTGACAGAGCCTGCATGAAAAAAAATCTGGTTTCACTTTCAAACAGATGTAATTTACCTTAAATAATTGTATCTCAATCTCTAAATTGAACTTTAATCACATACAGGAGGCTCTTGCAGGGTCTACCAAGCTATTAACATAGCAGGGGATAAGAAAATCTTAATTAAACAGAACTTGTAATAAAAGCCTAAATAGGGCTCTCTTTACAGGAAGTGTTTATGGAAGGCTGTGCAAGTCACATGCAGGGAGGTGTGACTAGGGTTCCTAAACAAAGGGAATTCACTCCTAAATGGCAGAGGATTGAGCAGTGAGGCTGTAGGGGCATGTTCTATACACCAAAACTGCTTCATTAAAGGGACACTGTAGTCACTATAACCACTTTGTCTCTTTGAATTGGTTATAGTGCCTGGAGTGGCCTGGCACTGTCCCTCCATTCAGTGTTGCACCATGTTTGTGCAGTATGCCACAAAATAAGAGTCCCTGGCCACCGACAGTCCGGCCCCTTCTGTATGTGTAGCTAAGGCAGAGATTACACACTTCCTTGTTGTCATACCCATTCATACCGTCAGTTGGAGCTCTGACAGGTTAAAAGCAGTCAGCTTACACTCTCAGCCAATCACAGTTGCCCATTGCCTCTCAGGGTAATACTTCCTTATTAGCCAAAGCAGCACAGAGGGGATAGACTGCCCTGGACTCTTGTTTAGCATTAAAACATTACAACATTAAAAACTGTTTAATGCTGAAAGAAATAATGGTACCAGGGGACTCCAGACACTATAACAGTTTAATGAGATGAAGCAGATACAGTGCCTACGGTGTCCCTTTAAGCTAAAGTTGTTCAGGTGACTATAGTGTCCCTTTAATTAGAATCTAGGTGTATATTGTTTTTATATTGAAATTGTTGTGCAGCCGTAGATGAGACTATTAATCAATTCTAATAAGCAGAAATGTGAAACAGCTATTTTACAAAAAGCGTTGTAGTGATTATTTTAAAGTAGCACAATGTGAGTATTCCAAGGAGATCACGGGATAATCTTTCGCCATCTGTGACCAAAAGTTATCAAAGCACAGCCTAAAAAACTAAAAAGTGAAAATAATCAATTGGCTAGTAAGTGCATTGTTCCTGTCACAAGCTAATCACGTGTAGCATTCATAATACCAATTACATGTGCTACCATAGCTTCCACTTCATTCAGATTACAGACACACTTCAAAATCTCCTTGCATACCTCTAAATGTACCCGGAGGGACCTGGGACCACCATTAAATTCTGTGTGGTGTAGGTTGATTTATTTACTTTGATGTAAGTAATAAATGCTTTTTTTACTCTTTACTCAAACAGTCATTCAATCTATATTTTTTTGCACTTTGTTTTTTATGTGAGATCCCCATTTACCAAGTATCTGAAGCAAAGAAGACACAGCATATTTCTGAAAGCACTTCTTGGGATGTTAAAGTGTGAGTGAGCATTTGTCACTTACCCATATACCCAATCACAGTATATACAGTATTGCACTATGCCATATATTTTCTGTTTCCCTAGCTTGGAATAGCCCTATATCATATGCATGTTGAATTGAAGATAGGAGGAAATCTTCGGGCATATCCTATATTGCTAAGGGAAGTTATTTCACTTTCTATCACAATTACTTGTTGAATTGTAATTCACAAAGCACTGCATGTGAACACTACTTATGAGTGTGTGAGATATTCTATATATCTTGTTTATGGTGTAGGTTGAGCCAGGGCCGCTATCAGGGTATGACAATCATGACAGTGGTCACGGTCCCGGTGGCCATGGGTGGCCCAGTATCACTGAACCAGGGCCCTCTCTTCATTAGTTCCACCACTGCCCATGCGGGCCCTCTGCGGCTTGTACAGTGAAGAGGGGGCCCAGGACTTGCAATTGTCAGCTTCCAGAAGCTCCCCTAAACTCTCTCAAGCTCTGGTCACAACACACATCATCCACTACAAACAGTCTGCGTCCTCTACACACACTGCATTTGCTACACACTCATTACACACACACACTGCATCCACTACGCAAACCCAGCTTCCTCATGGGCAGGCACCGTGAGCGGACTCAGGGGTGGGAAAAGCAGGGCTGGAAAATATTCTCCCTCCCCAAAAAATCACTATGGAAATAATTAAAGATAAAAAGTAAATCAATACATATAGCCTTGTGAATTCTAAGTGGGTCAGGTTTAAAGGGTTACTCCAAACACCATGACCACAGTGATTTTAGTCTGGAGTCTGCATGTGAAGCGTCTCGCTATGAAACACTGTACATATGGAGTTTAACCCCTCCGCTGCCAGAGGTTTAACTTCTCCTCCGGAAGGGTAATCAGGTTGTCATCAGTCAGTCCAAAATTAGAATTGCAAGCTTTCATTGCACAGAATGTCAGTCAGTGTCTGAGAGCGGTCAGCTTATGATCCCATCCAAAGAATGGCGATGGCTGCGCCTACTAGCTTTTGCGGCTCAGCAGCACCGGTAGCGCATCACTAGGTCACCAGGGAACATTGGAGTCCAGTGGGAACCCAAGTAAGGGGGCAAACCGTTGTTAAATGACATGATATGTCATGGGGTCCAGTGGCAGTTTTGCTGTTCTGGAAAGTAAGATCTAGAAAAAGAGGTGGACATAGGAGTGAGACTGCCTGTCTGCTTCCCCTGGCAATATAGCAGTCGCAGACATAATCTTCACTAATCATTTTCCTAGTGCATGCTGCAGTTTTTCATGACTTGCTGCACACTGTGGATAGGTTTATAGGTTATGTGGAATAGGAAGAATATTGGAATTATGGGATAAATTTTTTTCCTGATGAGTGATGCAGGCAGGCACACTAAACAGTGTGTGAAGCCAGGGAAACTTTAAAGGTGAGTACATGTAAATAAAATAAAATATCAGAGCATTTAGGTATTCATTGACATATTGTTTTTTCTATACTGGAACAATAATTTATAATAACGAAGTATTGTTCTCTCAATACACAATTCTGTAACCATGCAGCAATCCTGCCTCCCAGTGACTGACATCTGATAATAATGAGCTTGTATAGAATTCCTGCCATTGGATGGTTGTTAGGTCTCCTTAGTTACAGTGGTATTCAAACACTGCCTCTTGCAACCCATTACAGGTCTGCTCTGTATATCTAATGAAAGTGACACAGCTCAAATCCTGAAAGCTAAAAATATAATCAGGTATGTATTTTGCTATTTTCTTTCTTTTTTTTGTTCAGTTTGTGTAACTGGGCCTTCTTGGTCATAATTTGGGATCATTAAAAGGAAAATAGTCAATAGATTTATTGAAAGAAAAATAGCACTGCACTGTAGAAATGTGCAGTATGTCTATCACACTAATGCATACCTCCAAAGTGTCCCTATTTAGGAGGGACAGTCCCTATTTTGAGCCCAAACACCTCTGCCCATCTTTTCTATACTACTGCTGTCTTTTTTAGTAGCGCCATGTTGTTAGTGTGTCTGAGTGTATAACAGGGCTCCAGAGTAATAATACTGCAATGTGTCTGTAAACTACAACAAATGTGTTTGGAAATCAGTCTGTGTAATCATGATACATTGTTCATGTTATACATTACATTTAGATACATAAGTTGTTATTAGTAAGTCACCTAAAATTTCTTAGAACAACCCTGCCCCTGGCCACACCCCCAATCACACCCCTAAAATTAAAGTCCCTCTAGTCCATTTAATATGTTGAGAGGTATGCTAATGCAGCCACATATACTGCAGCGTTGTACAGCTGCTAACAAGGGGGGTTTATCAGTAAAGAGGGAATTAAGGAGCATAGTTAACATAACTGCAAATTTAAGACCAAACTAATTGAACATTTTCCTCATATATTTCAAGCTCAGCTATTTTGGCCTTAAACTGGCAATTCCATTGTGAATCCCCCAAAATGTGTGCTTTGCTGAATAACCTTGCAGGATATGGTTTTAATTCCTGAAAACAAGTAAGCCATGTTAATCTTGGGAGTGCTATAAATATGCGTTTATATATGTAAAATCTAAATTTATATTCAATTATTGGTATTCATAGCTTACCCCTATTTTGTGATAACCATCTCTGGTTTGAATAACATTATTAAACCTAAAAAATAATAAAAAAAATTACACATTAGCCAAACTACATTTTTCTGTTGTTTCTGTTTTGTTTTTGTATGTATGTGTGTGTGTGTTTATGCTGTTCATTGTGATGCCATAAAAAATAACATAGCAATTATGTTATGTTAAATAGCAATTCTGATGACATTTTTCCATATCTAATGTTTAAAAAGCTTTGTATATTTTGACTAATAAATGAACTATCTAGCTGGGGACCTTATAGTCACTGTCAATTAACAATTTAATCTGACCTTGCTGACTTACTCTCTGATTTTCCAAGATGCATTGGAATCTCTGATGTGTTTGTGTGTTAGTGAATAGTGTTAGTGATGTGATTTCAGGACATATGGAATATGAACATATCCTTCAAGCCTTTCTAACCACCCTAAACCTAAACTATATGCTGCCTATATATAACGAAGACAATAATATGCTCACTCTATCCTATTTTGAAATGTTTGTAATGCGATTCTCTAATACCCTCTAACACCATCTAATAGCAATTTAGAAGTGTTACTATCTTCTTAAACATTGTATCAAATTTAACCTATTAAACTGCTACTTTGAAAGAAACGTTTTGAACTGAACATAGGGGATGATTGATAGTATAGTAGCAATTTAAAATACAGATTATGAACCACGGTGGTTTTCACCTGATTTAATCGGAATTTTGTGACACAAAACACTTTTTTTTCTTAAGGTATTTTGTTTTTTTCATTTAACTAATAATATTATAACGTGTTTTATCTTAAAATAGTGGCTTTTACACAAAGGGTAATTGTGACGGGCCGCCTGGCACCCCGACTGGGTGCCTCTGCCAATCGCTACTTTCTAGCTGTCATTGAGTACCATGAGCACCGCACCGGACACCATAAGCACCGTAGCCCCTTAGCTGCCGCAACTGGGTTGGGGTCTCGCTGTCCCTTTTCACCTTGGACCCAAGTCCAGTTAATGTGTGTGTATGTCTGTCAGTGTGTGTGTCTGTGAGTGAGAGTGTGTGTGTGTGTATTTCTGTGAGTGTGTGTCTCAGTCAGTCAGTGTGTGTCCATCAGTTAATGTGTGTGTGTGTCTGTTTGACAGTGTGTGTGTCTGTCAGTGAAAGTGTGTGTTGGCTAAACAGTGTGTATGTCAGTGCATACATCAGTGAGGGAATTTTAAATTAGGGTGGGTGCCCGAGTTTGTTCATACCTAGGGCAGCACACCACTGGCTCAGAGTCACAATTTTTCCCAACAGGTACAAACACGTTAAGAAGCATATTCAGTAAGATTGGTGGGGTGAAATTGGCACAGAGCGTGGAGGGGTTCACTACATATTAGACAGAGAATGGAGTCTGAAGAAAGCTACCTGGCAGCATTAAGAGAAACAGCCAGCGCCCTGGTGGAAGCTGCTATGAGAAATGCCCAGGAAACCCTGAGAAATGAACAAAAGCCCTCAAGTGAAGGACCAGGTAATATTCCACCAGGATTGTTCATTTTAAAGTGTGCATTTTTGGGCATTTAATGTGAACAACTCTAGGACACAGAACTGAATAGGAAAAAAATCTTCAAGTCAGCTATCCAGTTTAATATTATTATTGGCATTTATATAGCACCAGCATATAGCAAATTTGACAAGGTGAAGGAGGGAAGAGAAAAAAGGAATTAGTGGAGGAGACAAAAAAAAGAGGTGAACATTGGATGAATGTGAGAGGGACAGAAGAGGGGAACAAGCAATTAAAGGGCGGAAAAGTGGAAGGGGAGAGGAATTCAGAGACGCAGGTGGAGACAAGAGGGAAACAAGTGAGAAAAGGGGGGAATAAGATGAGGGAAACAACTGGGGAATGGAGTGTTATAAGAAGAGGAGCTCATTTGGGTAAAGGGGGCAATGAGCTTATGGGAGGTGGAGATGGATAAATAGAGGGGATTGGAGAGAGATGTAAAGGGCAGATGGGAATTGGCAACACTGCATACATGCACATTCACACAAATGTGCTCCTGCATGCACACACTAGCACTCCACAAAAATACACCCATCATTTACATGCACTCACTAAGAATCTATGCAAAATTGCTTCTACACTCGGAGTGCTAGTCACATGTTGCCATTCAGCCACCCAACCAGTCACATACTCTGAATCGATCCACATACCCCATACTACTTACAGTCATCCATCCAATCATATACACCAGGGTTCATAAATATGATGGGCTAGGGTGCATTGAGGAATCTGGCCTTGAGGAAGCAGAGTTGGTAAACTCGACCCTGATTACAAATGTTAATAGGAACAATAGGTTAATGTTGTGCTTATTCACCAGACAGAATTTTAGTAAATTAAATCAATCTAACAATGTTGTCTAATAGATCCCACTATAGCCGAGATGGAGAATTTTTCCAAAACCGCTATTTAATGATTTAATATTGCCATTCACATTTAATTAACTTAATTCAGTGTGTTTGGTTTAGTAATTTTGCTTAAATTTTTTATTAATTTTAGGTTTACAGTAATTGTGTAAGTGACTTGGATGCTTATGGTCCATTTTTAATGCTTATATAAATTAGTTTCAGATCCGGATTTCCCACTCCAAAACTTTCCGTGGGTCCCCTGCAAAGATTTTTCTGTGGAGCTGGGAATGAAGCAGATTGAAGAATATATTTCTGTAAGATTGTATTTGGGTGAAATGATTTACATGGGGCATAAATGTCACTGACATATATATATATTGCTTTAGAATACATGATAATCAAATTCAGACAAGGCAAAGCCAGGGCAAATTTGGTAAATGAAAAATGGAAATAAAAACATTGTTTAATTTCTGTCTATGTATGGTTTCTCTACTCTGAGTGCCGGCAAAGGACAGAGTTTGTAACAATGATTGACAGGGGGCAAAGATGGAAGCGCCCAGTTGCAGGTTAAAGAGATATGAATTTCTACATTTAATTTTGTTTTTCACACCTCCTAAATACATATATTTGAAATATATGGATAAGTAAACATAATGTTGATAATTCTGGAAAGTGGAAGTACCCTGCCATATTCAATTTTCCATAGAGTGATATACTTAAAGTCATAAAAATAAATGGGGATTTTAGTTAAACTGACCTTTTCATTAGCCTCAAACAGATGCTTCAAAAATGCTCAAATAAGTTTTTCACTTCAGAGACAGCTCTCCACATTTATCAAAGAGGATCTGTACCCTTACACCGCTATTTGTGGTGCTCTAGTTTTGGGGATCATGGAGGCCAGTGACAGGTACCCCTTCTCCTTTTCTCATACAAGGGGTGCCTGAGATCACTGAAGCTACAGACAACCTTAAGATAATCTGGCAGGATCTTCCCCATGCACAAAAAGGGAGTCCTGCTAAATAGTAAAGTCACTGTCACAGCAAAATGTAAATACATTGTTCTCAGAGAAGCCTCTACCTTGTTTATTTTATTAGACGTGGGAACTTCATGAAAGCTGGCTACACTGCACCGACTACCTGAAAGATGAGGAGATTGAGTTTAGCAAACTGTTCCATTATAGAACACGATGGAGTATCCCGACTCGACGGAAACCCATCCCCAGGGCAACCGCATGTATCTACTTTACGATACAGATTTCCAAAATCAAACCCAATGTAAGTGTACGGAAATCCAGCCTACTGCTTGTTCTTCTTCCTCTGGCAGATCTTCCTTAGACAAGATCACAAATGGGTCAGGACTATTTAAAGGAACACTTTGGTCGGAAGCAAAGCTTTATTAGTGGAGCCTGAGGTTTATACTTTCACATATGGTAGACCTGTCCCTTGTTCACAAACTGACCTGTTTATCACGATATTGGATAATACTAATTTTAACTTAGCTCTTCTTTTCTTTCTTAACCTTTATAACTCAGCCTCAGTATAAACTCTATGGAATCCAACTATGGGCTCATTAACAAACTGCATTATACAAAATGTATCATGCTTATTCTTCAAGGGTGCACTTTGTTGGCATACCTGTGCTATGAGGGCCTATTAAACCCCTGGTTTTATGTGATATTGGTGAATGCTCTGTAGCTATTGCATTTCCACAATACATATTTTAACAGCACCTGAAATTGACACGTCATTGCCAAATAATAAAAAGAGAAACAAACACAACCAAAGCACTTATTATTAGAAATGCCCTCATTGAAACATGCATGGGTTTTATTTTTTTGTTTGTGGGTACATCTAAAAAAAGCTGGAAAACAGATCTCTTGCCTGCTGCCTTTGCAAGATCTCATTTTAACCCCGCCCAGACTTTCTGTGGCTGTCCAATCACAGTCTTCCCAGTGCAGCTCAATGAGAAGTCTTTGCAAGCAAGGTGCTCTGGGCAATTGCTGCCTCTTGAGTTCAGTGCAAATAAACTTAACAAAACCAGGAAGTAACAGGACCTATTATCTGATTGAAAAGCCAGGGGGGTGTAACCAGTATAATTTATAAAAAAATGTAAATTTCTATTGAAATCTGTACTTTTGTAAAAGAAAAAAGCAAGCTCAAGTGTTTTAAGGTGTTTGGAGCTTCCCCTTAGTAGTATACAGTCTTGGAATATCCAAATCTGCTGTAAGTGTACAGATTGTGTGCTACCTTTTGTAGTGCATCACCAACACCTTATGTGGGCCCATGATTTTGACAGGTATTCTCAATGTTTCACCTGATTGTAAACGTGTCAAAAACTCTTTTGAAAAAAAGATTAAAAACCCCAAAAAACTAAACAATTAAAAAAGTATATAAGAGGTTATATATGAAGACATACAGATCTGAAGAAATACCAGTGAGAGAGGCAGTATGGCAGTCCAGATAAAGTGAGTACGGAATGGTACAGAAGGGGAAAGAGGAGTAAGAGAGAGAGAAAGAGATTTAAAAAACAATCTATTGCTGAAAGGTGTGAGCATCAAGCTCTTTAGATATGGGTGGGGGATTAGGGTATTGATGCCTTCTGAGTAATGTTCTTACATTTTTGTATGGTACTTACATTCTCTTTTCTTGTTTGCAGACTTTTCCAGTGGAGGTATTTTTTATATTTGAATCAACGAGACTTGTACACAGGTATGTCAGTCTAATGTTTCATTTTACATCAGTTAAACACAGTCAATGTGTTTTATTAAACAGGCTAACATATACATGCTTTAAAACTAAATTAATTAAAACATAAGCTGAATTGAAGAATGTTTCGAACTTCTCTGCTGTGGCCCAAAACTGGAAATTCACTTTGCATCCCAGACAGTTCACATTTTGGTAAATAGCACAATTTAAATATGCAGTCAACTTTAACTGTCTCCATCTCCATAGCCAGCTTAACAGTATGTAAAGTGACTCCAATCGCCAGGGGACAGAATAGTCTAAACATCTCTGAATAATGTGTTTTATTTTTAGATTAATATTTTATAAAAGGGGAAAATATATTACCCAAATTGGAAAACATGGACTGTTCTGATTATGAAATGGATAAAAAAAATAAAAATGAAAATAATGGTAAACAGACATGCAACTATTATGAGTAGATACTTTTTCATTTAATTTTTTTATAGGTAGGTTCAGTCTCCACCTTATCACTTATTCTGTACTTACTTCTTTCTGCCACAGGCCTGGACAGACAAGATTTCGTGAAAAATGGCTAAAAGACATTATTGAAAGCAAGATTATTATGATGGACAGCATCACATTCTAATTGTATTCTCAATCATAAAGTAAAGAACAATGTGCAAACAAATGACACAGAAATATTTAGCATTTATTTTAAACAATTTACAGAAATAGGGGGTTTCTCAAAAGATTCAAGCGAGTCTGAAAGACATTAGGAGGCTCTCTCCAGAGACGTGGGCTCGTGAATAATGCACACACCTCCTCCAGGGAGCCTCTACAAACTCCAATCATATTGATGGTATGCTGCCTGTGAATGGAAGGATAACACTACTTAATGAAGAAAGCAGGATTGCTGAGAAGTGGAGACATTCCTTGCAAATATAATTGTTTTCCCATTACACTCAAACCCTGTTTGTATTCATGAATATCAAGGCCCAAAATATCAATTATAGCTTACTGATCTAAACGCTATCTAGAACCCCTACCCAATACGAACAGTATTTCAGTTTTGCTTCATGGAATGTCAGTGGTTTTGGATGTCACTGCAAATTCGGGTGTATATTTAAGTGGATATGGGTGTGTATTTTTTACAGCGGTGGAATGCACATACCATGGGAGGACTACGTATAGGTTGCCGCTAAGCATATTTCTCACTAACTAAAAATATATGATCTGGAAGAACACTTTAAACCTTCTCAATTCCACCCCAATTGATCAGACCGAAGGGTACATTTAATCACTCCACTAGTTTAACTCTCACCAAAAATGTAAATGCCATTCAAGTCATCTCAATGAATTGGTCTGGATGCAGTCATCTACTCACTTTAACTCTCCGATGTCAAACACTGCAGTTTTCTAGAAACTGCAATAGTTACACGTTGCAGGGCTAAATATACCTCTAGTGACTATCTTCCTGCAGATGAACCACACAAACCTAGATGAATCAAAGAGATGAATGGTGTAATGGAAAATTGTTGTCCACGAATTCATTCTTATTATCACGATTGCAACCAACTCTTTTTACCCCCTTTCTGACGGTAGGGTGTTCCATACTGTCCTACACAGAGTGGGCTTTAATGCTTTTAGGACGGCATGCAACACCCTGCAGTTTTGGTGTGAGTAGGGTGAGTAGGGTTAAATTTTGGTTCAATAGATACCTGGGGTTTCCCTCTGTCAGCTGGCCCCAGACTTTTTGATCATCTGCCTGAAGTGCTGGAAGTCAAGAGATTGCAGTGTGCGCAGGGTTAAATTCCTGCTTATACCAAGAGACCCAGGTATTGATGGATACACAAGACTTCTCTCTGTTGGCCCCAGACTGACCGATGAACTCTATGCAATGCTGGAAGTCAATGCTCCATAGGACGCTTTAAATTCATTCATGACACTGTGACAGAACAAAATTATGCTCAGCCATAGTGTTTCTGGGCTGCAGGATTGTTAAAGAAGACCCCCAAGGGTCTGAATAGAACCTGACAGGGTCCCCTAAGTCTTTCCCCAGTCAATTACAACTGGTGCTTGGTTTTGCACTGATCACAGTGTAATCAGCTGGGAAGCAGGCTCCATTCATAATTACACGAGAAAGGTTGCCTAAGAGGGTGAAAGAGTGAAGGGCGACCTGCCTTTCCTCTAACACTCTCCCCTAGGTATACCCACAGTAGTGAAAATAAGTCATAGGGTATGAATAGAGTAAAAATTAAAAACTTAAGTTTATTGAATTCTATTTAAAAAATCTCTTTAAAGGACAAAAATGTATGAAATAAGTGAACCACACAGTGTTGGTGAATTTAAAAAGGAAAGGTTCGATGCAGTCTAGACAGTCTCTTGTATATGTAACTAACTGTAAGTGGTTACTAATAAATTGATTTATACAATAAAATATGGTAATCTCTTGTATATAGAAGTGTAACTAACTAAGTTGTTACTAACAAATTGACTTCTACAATAGACACAATAGTCAATATATTTAAGAGATAAAGTTCAAAAGCTAGTAACTGTCAATAAGTTGCACTTAGTTGGATAGTATCAAATTGATAAAGCCTCTATATATCCACTAGTAATAGATAGATGGGACTATGTTCAAATACTCTTTACCCTCCCTGTTAATATGGAACTATATTCAGGTAATCTCTCTCTAATAGTGCTATTATCAATACTAGTATAAATTTAGCTTACATCAAATAAATGCAAAGATGCCTAATAGTGGTAAGAGGCTAAACTTGCTTGTTGCTTATTAATGGCAGAAAGTGCCAATTAGCAAGCAGGTTTATTAGGGTGACTGTAGCTAACATCCGTGTAGAAATGGAATACAGTTTTAAGCAATATAATGCCATGAATACTCCTCGGAGTTAATGCACACAGTAACCCAACATATAACCTTAAAAGAAAACCTCGGCATATAACAGACACACCATCAAAGTCTAATCTGTTTGAAATTGCACAAAAAAAAATAAAAATAGGCAGTCTAGATATATTGCACTGCCTTAAGTAGTGTCAAACCTATGATAGTACCAAATATAAGGTCTCAGGGAAGATTAGAAAAAATATATATTAGAAATTCACCAACACTATGTATTTCACTTATTTCATCAATTTTTGTCCATAACCCCTTAAGGACCAAACTTCTGGAATAAAAGGGAATCATGACATGTCACACACGTCATGTATCCTTAAGGGGTTAGAGAGATTTTTTTTAAATAGAATTCAATAAACATAAGTTTTTAATTTTTACTCTATTTATACCCTATGAGTTATTTTCACTACTGTGGGTAAACCTAGGGGGAGTGTTAGCGGAAAGGCAGGTCGCCCTTCACTCTTTCACCCTCTTAGGCAACCTCTCGTGTTTGTGCTATTTAGGGTTTTGGACCCTTTATACCCACTTTGTCCATTTATATGTTGACTTCGGGATCAAGCTTTGCTTGACCCCTAAGGCTTCATCTTTTCTTTATCTCCATTCATAATTACATTGCATGTAACTATGAAAACAGCCAGGAAATAGAAGATCCATTTTCTAATCACAGATTTGATAACAGAGGATTTCTTCAGGGTTAGGGTATGGTTAGCTGGAGGGTTACTGCTGTTTTAGGGATAGTGTAGGGTTAAGGATAGGGTAGATATACTGTTAGAGTTTGTGTAAGCATTGGGTAATTGTTATGGTTGGTATAGCGTTAGTGTGGGGTTGGTATAAGTTTAGCGATAACGACCAACAATTAGTTTTGATTCTAGATACATGTGGCGTTTAATAATCATGACTGATATATTCATCTTTGAATAGTTTTTTATTTATTTTTTTATTTGGTTGTGATGGATGTGTAAAAATATAAATATAATTTCCCCCCACTTTTTAACATTTAAATCGCATGTAATGTTGTGTTAGGTATACATATAGGACATTAAGCGAATGCCTTTTCTGTCCTTTAAAAAACAATATATGATGATATGTACTGGGGCACATGAAGAGAACATTACGGTGCAACAGGCACATAGCACAAACCCTAGGTTTTGTTTTGATTCAAAACTTGAGAAAATCATCTCTGTCCTTGGAGGGGTGGTTATGGGTTCATTAGTGAATGTATTAAACACTAGTTCAGGGGAGTGCTTCTACACTACCACTCAGGATGCACTCCTGTGAGCTCTGACCTCAGTGTCATGGAAACAAACAAATAACAGCCTTTCCCATTAAAGAGCACACTCCCCCTTGTAACCGTTTATTAAAATCTTATGGACTTGCACATAAACTCTCTCTTACAAACCAGGAATTTTTGTAAAAGTTTAATTTTCTCCAAATAGAACATTAAATGCCATAGCCCTGAAATCCAAAGTGATGTTTTAATATAAAAAGAAAAAGCCACCCAACATAATAAATAATTTCCCCCCGCCCCCTAAAAAAAAATAAACACATCGAAGTTACACATTAAACTGGGAATTATTACAATGACAATGGAAATATACAAATTAGGCCAAAATAGCCAACCTCAAACTTTCCAATTATGGTATTTTGGTCTAATATGAGCATTTCTTTTGTCATCCCCCAATTTCCTGTTTAATGACTTAATCCCACTGCGGTGGACTATTAATGAGTCTGGGATATTTATTTTTAGACATATGGCTTAGAACAGGTTGGGAAAAACAGATCTCAGAAAGACAGGAAACAATTAGATAAAAATGAATACTCACACCACAGGGTGAGGATAGAATGGAGCATTTCTTACAGAACTCAAAGACCTAATTATTCCTAAATCTTTATATGATCATCATATAAAGACTTAAAAAAAATGTAAAAAAAAAAAAAAAATCCAAGCATCACTGTATCTGACTTCAAGTATCAGACTATTGTTCATGAAAGAAATCAACCGACTGGATCACTGAATTAATCCCATGTACAGAATCACCAATGGTGATTTTAGATTTTGAGGATACATTAGGAGATACACAGAAATATACTGTAGCCAACCAGCGATCAGAAGGCCAGCAGTAAGAGATTGCGACAGCACCCGCCTTATGAATAACAATACTCAACTTTTATCAAATCATTATATTAAAAGTTACCTAATGAATGTGTACTTTCATTTATGGACATTTTTTTAGTCTCCTTTTTTAAGAGGATAAAGAGGAAATTCTTAATTGTAAAGCTGTAAAAAATGTGTTTTCCCCGAGTGTGCAATAGAAACAGTCCATGGAAATAAAATGCCATAATAGACGTTAAGTGTCTATTTGTCTTCTTTCCCCTTGGTCTTCCTGTGAACCATCTCCCTGAAGCTTGATAGGATCTTGTTTTCCCGTTTGCGCCTCTCCTCTTGGTTGAAGGAGGCCAGGGCTCGCTTTTCATCTGCACTGTAAATTTGGTTCTCCTTACGCAGACGCACAGCTTCCATACGTCGATGTCTGAACAATAGCAAAAACGTTACTTTTACAATGCAGCGCAATCTGTATACACATACATACACCTCTTAAGAGATTAGGCCAAAGACATTTGCATAATTATCATTAATATTGTCAACCTACAATGACAGAAATTGCCCTCAGTGAGTTTTGATTCACATCTGTTATGAACACACGTCATCATCAATTTCACATTTAATGGATTTGAAAATTAAAAATTAAATGTGAAAATCCACACCTTTATGAGCACCTCTATTATGGCTACTTATTAATTGTTATTATAAACTCTGTCCTCCGCACTTGGCAGTTAGCGCAGAGAAATGATACAGAGAAGATAGGAAACAATGGTAGAGATTTATCAGAGTTCTGTTTTTAGACGTGGTGCAAAAATACAAAAAGGGAGGAGCCACCAATGGAATGTTCCTGCTGGTTCCACTGGTTTCCACGGCCCCAATTTAATACCATAGACCACTTTTTCAAACAGAACACTGTGATAAATCTCCACGGTTTCCATTTCTCCTCCTCATTTACAATAAGTACTTTGGTTGTATCTGCACTGGAAAGGATTGTGATGCCATGTGCTGAATCTTTAATAAGGATGTTAAAGAAAACAGAGCCTCGTGTGAACGAAGGGTTAACACAACAGTAAAGTAATCTTCAATCTTTTTAGTCAATGACTTAATTTAGAACAGCAGCAATTCTCATTTAACCCCCTTCCCCCAAAACAAAACCCAATCCAAAAAATACATACCTGCTACCACTCATGACATAGCCAGACTTCTCAAACGATGCAATTTCATCACTGGTTAAACCAATTTCTCCTCTCCTTGGGATACGCTTTCCAGCCTTTACATACTCTGCCATGGCTGCACCTTCACCGGGTAACAGAGCGTGTCCATAGCTTTAGGATGAGAAAAAAGTCAGACAGCAATAATAATAAAAGTAATATATAATTCGCTGGTGTTACCATTGCACCTACAAATTTACAGTGGCATCCAGTTTGGGTCATTCACATGTGAAGAACTATATTGCTTCACATAATGAAGCTGGAGATCCCGACATAACAGGAACATAAAGGCAGGAATGATACAGCTTGATGTTTTTGACTGATACCCGACCATCTCCTCTAAAAACTATTTTACACAAGTTATTGATATATAATGCTGTGAAGCGGTTACGAGTTATAAGTTAGCAGTAAAGATATGTATGCAAAGCTGATTGTTAATCAAAACCTCAAAAATGGCATTACTTGGGTTTTAGTTTGTTAAATGTACATCTAAGGATGACTCTAAAAGAACTGCTTGATTTATACATATTTTCAATAAATGCACACTACTTACTTTAAGGGTTTATCATCTTGTGACAGGTGTGTAATTGGAGCTTCAGGACCCACAAATTCAAAGTCATCTGTATTAACCTCTGTGGGGAAAGCAAGCAGACAGACACTTAAAACTGGCCATAGAAAGGCAAGTCAGAGAATGTATACACAGGACAATATCCCAAACATATTATGCAGTTAAAGAGGCAATACTTATACTCCTGCTATTCGCTTTCCTATCAGTGTTGTGCGAACAACTACAAACAGCACCTTCTTACCCATTTTATTCCCCACAGTATCCCCATCGTTCTTAAAACCTACTTGTTCGCTCGACCCAATCATCTCCTTCCTGCATCTGTTCTTCATCCGATTCCTCGCTACTGGAATCACTGGACTTTTTCTTGGCCTTCTTGCTTTTCTTTTTCTTTGACTTCTTCCTGTAAAATAAAGAAAACTTTGAATATGTAACCGTTTTTTCCAAATACAATTTAAATACTGCACATGTAATATGATGGTCACACTACAGAAAACATTTTGCATGTTTATTCCACAGTTAACGCAAAAAAAAAACAAAAAAATATTATATATATATATATATATATATATATATATATATATATATATATATATATATATATATATATATATATATATATAAAGAAGACATTTTAAATAATGTATAAACACAAGGACGTATATATAAAAACCCAAAGGTGATATATACAAATAGAGGGTGGTTGAGAACAATACAACCTGAATATGGCTGAAAATGAACGTGGAATCTATAAAATAGCAAAATACAAAATATAGTGAAGTAAGTTAGGCAAAATTGGATTTGCACGTGGTAGAAAACTTACAAGAAGGGAGTAGTAATCACGCCTGTCATCCTGTCAGGGGTACTTTCCACATTGGAGACCGAATATATATGGCGAGGACTGACAATATCACTTTTTCTTCAGCTCAGGAATAAAATATCCCTTTTTCCTTCAGCTCAGGAACAAAAGAAAAAATATAGATAGTGCAGATTGTATAAAAATAACAAAATTTATTCCAAATATTGCACTTACAAGAAATCAGAAGTAAGACAGCATATCTCCATAATGAAGTAATGGCCGGGTCTCCAGGTGAAAGTAGAGAGAGATCCCAAAATGGAGGTACACAAAATTAAAAAAAATAAAATAAAATAAATAAAAATAACAAATGGACTATAATAACAGCTGTATATTAGCATAAAAAGTCCAAAAGTAGTATCCAACGCGTTTCGTCACTATGGTGACTTCCTCAGGGATATAGATGTGTTGTAATCTTCATGGTTTATATATCATGCCAATTTTCAAATTCGCGGGGAAATTCACATGTTACTTCCGGTTTTCGGCCCTTAGACTTCCTGCGTTCCACCTTGGAACGCATAGCGTCACTTCCGG